CCTGTCCCCCCCCCCTCCCCCCGCCGGCCAACACAATGCCCGCCTCTAACATGCCTCGGTCCGCCGCTGCTGGGTGGGGTCGGAACAAAAAAAAAAACCCGACAGTCCTCTTCGCGGGGATGTTCATTTCCATCCTCTCGGCCGGCCTCTTCCTCTGGCAGCCGCCGCTGCCCTTCTCCCGGGTGTATGGCGACAGCGTGGACCCCCGGGGCCCGGCATCCGGGGCTGATGAGGTGGCCCTGGCCGCGGACCTCGGCCCGGACTTGGTCGACGCCGGGCCCATCGGCCCGTACGGCAGCATGGACCGGCCGCCGCAGGGGAAATCCTTCTACGGCCGGGGCCACCGGCAGCTGGCCCGCGCGCGGCAGTTCGCCCGCGGGCTGGACGCCCGTGGCCACCGCGACCCGGGCGCCATCCTGACCATGACCCATGTCTTTGATGCGGCCTGCACGCTGGGCTTCTGCTTGCTCTTTGTCCAGGCGTCGGTGGTCCTGCTGCGGCCGCTGGCCTGGACGCACATCGCCCGGGGGGTGATCCTGCTGGTGGCTGGGACCTGCCTCACCAGCTATCAGCACCACGCCGGCGGCAGTGCCGTGTCCTGGCGCCTGGCGGCCCCGATGCCGCCGACGCGCTGACACCGGTCCGATGGCGGCCCAATGGCGGCCCAATGGATATGCCTTTGCCTGGGGGATGAAATGCGCAGGCAGGCGTGGCGGACGGGCGGGCGGGGGGTGGGGGGGTGGGAGAGGGAGAGGGAGGGCGGAGCAAGGCACGAAGACCACAAGGCACGAAGGCCAGAAGAAGGGGGAATAGGGGCGAAGAGGCCCAAAAAGCTAGGAGACCACACCCAAAACCGGGCAGGGGGGGGGGGGGGGGGAAGACCACACCAGCGCGAAAGGCAGAACACCCAGGGAGGGCGCCGCGCGGGGGTGGGGAGCATCATGGAGCACTGGGCTTTTCTTATGTATTTTTCGCATCCAACCATGGGAGGGTGGGCGCCGCGCGGAAGGCAAGAGCAGCGCCATGGGGGGGGGGGGGGGGGGGGGGGGGGGAGGAAAAAGGGGGAAAGGAGGCCCCCCGGGGCGGAAAAAAGAAGGGGGAGAGGGGGCGAAGCGGCGGCAGCGGCGGCGGCGGCAGCGACATCACTGGTACAGCTCCTCCGGGGTGTGGGAGAAGAGATAGGAGATGGATTCCCCATTGTGCGTGCGGCGGATGGCCTCACCGAAGGTGTCCGACACGTCGATCACCCGGACCTTGGTATCGGGGCGCAAGCTGATGGGAACGGTATTCGTGATGATGACCTGTGCGCAGG